TTTCATGTGTTGTTTGGCCACCTGGATGTCTTCTTTGGAGAAGTGTGTATTCATGTCCTTTGCCCAATTCTTAACTGGATTATTTGTTTTTTGGGTATTGAGTTTGTTAAGTTCTTTATAGATTTTGGATCCTAACCCTTTGTCTGATATGTCGTTTGCAAATATCTTCTCCCATTCCATCAGTTGCCTTTTAGTTTTGCTGATTGTTGCCTTCACTGTGCAGAAGCTTTTTATTTTGATGAGGTCCCAATAGTTCATTTTTGCTTTTGTTTCCCTTGCCTCCAGAGATGTGTTGAGTAAGAAGTTGTTGTGGCCAAGGTCAAAGAGGCTTTTGCCCACTTTCTTCTCTAGCATTTTGATGGATTTCTGTCTTCCATTTAGGACTTTCATCTATTTTGAGTTTATTTTTGTGTATGATGTAAGACAGTGGTCCAGGTTCATTTTTCTGCATGTCACTGTCCAGTTTTCCCAGCACCACTTGCTGAAGAGTCTGTCTTTATTCCACTGGATATTCTTCGCTGCTTTGTCAAAGATTAGTTGGCCACAGGGGCGCCTGGGTGGCTTAGTCGGTTAAGCGTCCGACTTTCGCTTAGGTCATGATCTCACGGTTCGTGGGTTCGAGCCCCGCGTCGGGCTCTGTGCTGACTGCCAGCTCAGAGCCTGGAGCCTGTTTCAGTCTGTGACTCCCTCTCTCTCTGACCCTCCCCTGCTCACGCTCTCTCTGTCTCTAGAGACAAATTAAAAAAAAAACAACCTTAAAAAAGATTAGTTGGCATATGTTTGTGGGTCCATTGATCTGAATGTCTGTTTTTGTGCCAGTATATTTAGTTATTTTCTAACATTTATTTATTTTTTGAGACAGAGAGACAGAATGCAAGCAGGGGAGGGGCAGAGAGAAACAGAGACACAGAATCTGAAGCAGGCTCCAGGCTCTGTGCTGACAGAGCTTGAACTCACAAACCATGAGATCATGACCTGAGCCAAACACACACTTAACCTACTGAGCCACCCAGGCACCCCAGTACTTTTTTTTTTAATTTACTAAAAATTTTTTCAAATGTTTGTTTATTTTAGAGAGAGCAAGTGCACTTGAGCAGGGGAGGGGCAGAGAGAGAGGGGGACAGAGGATCTGAAGCAGGCTCTGCACTGACAGCAGAGAGCCTGATGCAGGGCCCAAACTCACAAACCGCAAGATTATGACCTGAGCCAAAGTTGGATGCCCAACTGACTGAGCCACCCAGGTGCCCCTCAACCTCAGCGCTTGTAACTTTTGAGGACAGAAATTCTGTACGATGAATGGCTGCCCCATGTGTTGCAGGATGTTTAGCAGCATCCCTGGCTTCTGCCCACTATATATCAACAGCACTCGCTCCCCAGCTGTGACAACTAAACATGTGTCTGTACGTTGCCAAGTGTCTCCCAGGGGGCAAAGTCACTTCTGGTTGAGAACCCCTGTTGTATACCTTTCAGTTCTATTTGATTGTTTTAACACACGTGCTCATACTATTCCTATAATTAAACATATAACTGAGATCATGAGACAGGGGAGAAAATATGAAGCTGTTGTGAAGAGGCAAAAACAAGAAGTAGAGAATTTACAATGCAGGATGAGGAAGCAAGTAGGAATAAATAAAAGAAGCAGAAACTCTGTCAGAGAGAATTCCTGAGCTATGGGACAGGAGGAGCAGGAGTGGGAAGACCCATGTACTCCTTTCTCTGAGGTCTCCCATGATGCTGAGATTTGAGAGCCAAAATCCAATAACAGTCTGCAAAGCCCCAAACATACCATAGCCACTGTTCTGTGATTCCCACTCCATTCGGCTTCCTAATTGCCCCAGGTGTCCTAAAAAAAACACCCCTTCACTTTTAAGCTAGGCTAAAGGAGTGTATTCCTTACAAACAAAGCCCATAGACTTGGTGCCCAGTGAAGAGATGGGCTCGCCACTATTTGCTGCCAGTACTATATTCACTTCTTAGCATAATACTTTAAGAGATACTCTGGTTGGGTGCCTAGGTGGCTCAGTTGATTAAGCATCGGACTCTTGATTTTGGCTCAGGTCATGATCCCAAGGTCATGAGATCAAGCCCCGCATCTGGTTCTGCTCTGAGCATGGAGCCTGCTTAAGGTTCTCTCCCTCCCTCTTCTTCTCCCCCTCCCCCACTCATACTTTAACACTCTCTCTAAAAATAAATAAAAAGTAAATTTAAAAGAGAGAGAGAGAGAGACTCTGCTCAAGCAAAGCAGTGGGAGTGATGAGTAGGCTTCACATAAGGTCTGTAAGAGTGACTCTAGAAAGCTTTCCCTGGGAAGGGGGAAAAAAGACTTAGGCCATCCATCAGAGCTGTCATGTACAGGAGGGAGAAGTGTGACTGTATGATTGTGGCTCGGAGGCAGAATTGATGATAAAAGTAACAGGGAGGCAGATTTTGGCTCCAAATTAAAAAAAAAAAAAAGTTCTCTCAAAAAAAGACTGGAAAGGGGTACTTGGTAAGGTAGTGAGGTCCCTATTTCTGTAAATGTTTAAGAAGAAGCTGGTAGGGTGGTTCTTGCAATGAGTATAAGCTTGGGCCAGATCTGCCAGCGTCCTCCCAGCTATAGAATTCTAGATATTTAAAAACCCTGGAAAGAGGCACATACTAGGCAAAATATTTTAGGGTCAAGTGACACAGCAGTAACATTTAAGTAAGAGGAGGGTGGCTGGTGGAAGAGTTGAGCCATACGGGAAGATCTCAGAGGTTCAGCACCTTCCGCTGGCGCTGGTGTGCTGTTCTTTCCCCCACACAATTAGTCAGAACTCGTGGTTGCAAGAGATGGAAAACTCTTAGAATGACTTACGCAAAAAAAAAAAAAGAAAAGAAAAGAAGGAAAGGAAAAGAAAGGAAAGGGAGGAAGGACGGAAGGAAGGAAGGAAGGAAGGAAGGAAGGAAGGAAGGAAGAAAGAGAAAGAAAAAGAATAAAGAAAGAAAGAAAGAAAGAAAGAAAGAAAGAAAGAAAGAAAGAAAGAAAGAAAGAAAGAAAAAGAAAAAGAAAGAAAGAGAAAGAAAGAAAGAAAGAAAGAAAAGAAAGAAAGAAAAAGAAAATGCATTAGCTTACATAACCTAAAAGTTTAGAAGGCAGATCTAGCGCTGGTCGTGTCTGGATCCAAGGTTCAAATGAAGTCATTAAAACTTGGTCTCTCTCCATATCCCAGGTCTGTTTCCCTCCTTATAGCCAAAACAAGCTTGGAAGTTTAGACTCATCTTTACAGAGTACAGAGCTAGGCCAAAGATGGGAAGGGTCTTGGCTGGATGGCTTCCTACACCCACCCTCCCCACTTATTAGTAATTCCTTAAGAACTTCTAATCTTTGAGCATTTGTGGTCCCAAAGCCTTTTCCTCTTTGGTTCTTAGGCTTATCTTCTATCCTCTAAGCTGCAATTTCAGGAAGAGGGGGAAAGCTGGGACTCCAGAGGGCTGTTGTGGCTTCCCCTAATGATCTGCCCCTGGAAATTTGCCAGAAATGGGGCACTCCTTATGGCTGGAATCATATACCAGTCAGGGAAAGGAGGCCATTACGGAACGCACTCCTGGAGCTACAGAGGGGGAGAGAACTACCAGGTATTTGAGAAAGGAGTTGTCCAGCTAGAGAGATGAGGCATGGGAGTCCTCCGAAGGTGTCCGAGGTGGATCCAGCGTCCCCAATTTGTTTACTAGATACAGGGATCAATAAGTTGCCACAGCCCTGGCCTGAGGGCCTGAGGGCCTACGCTAGGGCAGGAACCTCAGTGATTGACCAGACACTGAGAAAAATTGAAAGGTTGTAGGGAAGAGAGAAGGCAGAAGATCCAGGCTTCAGAAGGAAAACAAAGTGTGAATCGCACCCAGCTCCAGCTGGGAGTGAGGCCGCTATGTTCCTCGAACGCGGGAGGCGCTGTTCAGGGAACCGCAAGTTTGGCGCTCAGCGAAGTTCAGGGCTAAACTCGGGTATAGGGAGGATGGAGGCTGGGGGAGGGGAGCGGAAGAGGGGAGACTGGCCACGGGACCGTCGGGACTACGTTTTCCAGCATGCCGCAGACCGGGCAGCTTTACGCATGCGCAGAGGTCGTGGCAAGGCCTCTTGGCGCCTGGCGGGGGCGCTCGGGGTTTGGTTGTGAGCTGGCAGAGACCTCAGCCGACACGGGAAACCGGTGTTGGGGCGGAGTTTAAGGCCTGGGTTGGTGGTGTTGATGGCTCGGCGGCAATTTCCGGCGCGTCCCAGGGGGTTGGTGGGACCTCAAACCCCTTCTCTTCCAGAGGCAGGCTCTTACGTCCCCCAGGCCGCGGACACACTGAGCTGTCTTCAGACTAGCAATTCTCAAAACCCCACCTCCCGCTGCCAGGGGTTCCCCGCATCCAGTGCAGGCCCCCAAAGCCACCTTCCCTCCCACACAGCCTCAGCTGCCTGCTTTTTACAGCGACCTGGGCTTCTTTGGGGGGAGGTCCATGTTGGGGTCCTCAGAGGTCCAGAAACCCTGGGCATTTGGGTTATTCTGTGTGCAGAGGGTCCCCTTTCTCACTGGGACCACCAGGCTGGGCTCAGGCGCACCGTTCCCTCCTCTGATTTCCTCTGAGACTGAGTGGGAAGGGGAGAAGTTCGGAAGTAAGAAGCCTTGGCTTCCCCTGTCTTCCACCTGTGAAACCTCCGAAATGTCTGTCAAGCCACACTTGCTTCTACAGAGGCCATAGGAAGATGGGTAGACCTGAGGTTGTGACTGGTGGCAGAGCAGTCATAGAGGTCATGGGGAGAGTAGGTCAGGGGCTGGTGAGCTCCAGGTGATGGGAGTGGGGTGGCTTTGAGTGCACATCCTGAGCAAGTACAGCTTGAGGAGCTGCGCTCTCGCCTCCACCCTAGCACCCACCCTGGAAGAGACCTTCTTGGTCCATCTTCCTAGCTAGACGCCCCCAGAAGTGCTCTGTGCAGAGAGCAAAGTTCACACCCCTACAATGCAGGGCCTGTTGCACATTGATAAAAATCTAAGCACTTTCTGAGACAGAGAAGTTTTATTTGACAACTTGGAGACACAACAGAGGCAGCAGGATGTGGACTGGTATTTTCCTGCCAGTGTTCTCAGATAAGAAGCCAGGCTTGGGTTCCTCAGGTCACTAGGTTCCAGGATCCCTCCAGACTGTGGGCTCCTGAGGAGTATACCCATCCTTGTCCTCTCAGGCTGTTTCCCCTTCCACCATTGCCCACTTCCTGTGTCTGAGGGGACACTGAAGTGTTAGGGGGTAGACTTTAAGGGGGCAGGAGTGGAGAGGATCTGGTTAAAATCCACAAGGAGGAGGAAGTGAGAACCTAGGAGCTTGGGGCATTAAAGGAATAGATGGGGAGCGGTGGATGGAGGGGGCCCACTACCTTTGTTTCCTCCAACCCCAAGAAACTGGGGACCTGCTTACTGTTCCCCTGAGATGCCTCCCTCATAACTCGGAAGGAAGTTTGGGGAACATTACCTCCTGTGACTGGGCAATGGCTGCATGTCTTGGGGGGGGAGGGGCGGCGGCAGCTGGGAAACAGTCATGCCAGGGACAGGGTAGCAGTAGCCCCTGCAATAGAGGAGGCTGGGGCGATGCTTGTCCCGCTCTGGCAGGCCCTCCATCTCAGCTGGGTGCAGGCTGGCTGTTGGCATAAGCCTGGTCTGGGAAGGAAGCCCGCGCTCTGCGGGTCTGGGCACACACTGAGGCGTAGAGCTCAGGCTCAGGGCCTGAGGGCTGGGGCTTTGGCTCTGAATCCAGCACCACCTCTGAGTACTTGATAGGGGTTCCAGGGCTGGGGATACGGCCCTGAGAAGGCCGCAACTGCAGGCTGGTATAGCACATCACTTCCTCTGCAGCCTGGAGATTCAAAGCTGTTAGAAGTTCACTGGACCCTTGGAAAAGCCCCCACTTCCTTCCCTCCCCTCTTTCTCTGCCACAAATGACTCACCGTGCTGGGGCCTTTAGGTTTTGGATCCTGCTGATCTGGCCCTGGTTCCTGAGACAGCCGACCTGGTACAGGGAACAGTAGTAATCTGGTTACTTCTTGTTCCTCCTCCCGCAGTCCCTTATCCCACCCACCCAGGACGTGCGTGGCCCCTGTGCCCCTCCCCTGTGTCGTCTGCCTACCAGTCTGAAGATAATGCAGGTTCCCATATAGGGGGACCTCTTCCACAGACCCTCCAGAGCTGCAAGACAGAGATTAGACGATGAGTGGGGACTTCTTGGTAAGGAGGGACTCTTGATCACCTATCTCTATTGTCCCCTACTCACCGTCCCTGTCCTGGATGGCTCCTGCTTCGGCCACTAGTCCATCGGAACAAGTGTGCAGCCAGTGAGATCAGCAGCAGCAGCATCGCAGCCCCTAAGAGGGCCCACAGTCCCCAGGCGTGGGCAATGGAGGGGATTCCTGTGGATGCCAGAGGATGGAGGGCATTACTGCCCAACCCAACCCTCCAGGTCCTAGCAGGTGGGACATGGGGCCATGTGACCCCTCCCCCTGCCCCTGCCCCGCCCAGCTCACCAGGCGCTAGCTGTTTCGAAGTGCAATTGTCACCTCTGCTCATCGTGACTGCTGATGTGGGAGCTGAGTCTGCAAGTCCTGCGCCGAGGGGTCAGTCTGCTTTATGACCTGTTAGCTGCCGCAGGCCCCTTTACTCTCACCCCTCCCTGGGCTTGGCCCCTACAGCTCAGCATCTCCAATACTGGTGGTGGCAGAGTCACTGGTTTCCGGGGAGGAAGGGGGAGGGGATGGATGAGTGAAAGAACAAAGACGCCGCCCTGTGCCTGCACCTGCGCCACTCAGCAGCTTCCAGGCTTCCGCCCCCAGCCCTCATGGTCCTGTGCCCCCTTTGGCCAGAGGAGAGGCAGGCCTGAGATTACTGTGCCGCTGTGCAGGTGAGCCCATAAAGACTCCCAGGGGACAGAGCAGCATGAGGCAGGACCAAGACAAGGAAGCCAGAGTTTCCCTTCTGCCGCAGGTGTCTGCCTTGTCTCTCCAGCTCTGAGACCCATGAGAGAGCATGTGTTTCTCACTGAGCATGCCATAAAGGGGAGCGGGATGGGGAGGCCTCCCGGTGCCTACGGTCCCACCACGCCCTAAGGCTGACTGCAGGGATAAGAGCACCACTGTCGTTCTTATTATTACTGGTATAATAGTTTCGGGGAAAGAGGAAATTTAAATTCCCTGCTCCTAGCCCACTTCATCCAAACTGTCCCTAATAACTGTCAGTCCCCAAAATTAATTGAATTAAAGAAACCTCTGCCTATCCTGGGAAACTGAGCCATGTTTTTTCACTTTTTCACTTCAGGGAGTAGAGTACTTGCCCTGCCCAGATACAGACCAACCACATGGGCTGCTATTGACGTGGGAAGAAGGATTTCAAGTTCCTTAGACCAGAGGTCAGTGATATGTCTGGCAATAGTGGGCCCAAATTCCCTAAAGGCAAAGATCAGTTGAGGCCCATTTATCATATTATACCTGGCCTGAACCACTTGTTTACATGGACTGTGCCAACTGGCTGAGGTTCAAGGTTTGGACTACGCTGCTCTGCAACCAAGCTGCCTCTTGATACTATACTATGACAGCTATACTATGACAACTCCTGTGAGTGTGGGTCTCTCCTCCCTGCCCTGCCGCCTACCTTCCTGGAAGAACAAGAGGATATACTATTTCATTCATTGAGTTAACATACATGTACTTCACTCATTTAAGCCACACGTGCTGATTGCTTGCTTATGTGCCAAGCTCTGGAGATAAAATTGTGAGGGGGAATGATTTCCTTCCACAAAATGCTCTTGATCTAATTAGAAGGACAACCTTATGTATCCCAGACAACTAAAAGGCAGCGTGGAACACAGGGAAACTCCCAAGCTGCCTGGAGAAGTCCTGGGTGGAAGAGCGGTGGTTGGGGTGATAAGAGGTACCTGACAGGGAGACAGAAAAGAGTAGGAATCTCTGATTTGCCTCTTACCTGTATTGTACCTGATTAACTTACTTAACCTTCCTGAACCTTTGTTTCATAATTCTTTAAGAGAGCTTAGTTATAGTTACCTGTTGGTTCATATTTCTTTCAACAAGGATTCATTGAGTGCCCGCTAGTGCCAGGTGCTATACTTAGCTATAGGAATAAAATGATAAAGAAAAGAAATATGGCTCCTGCTCTCCTGCAATTTATAGTCCAGCAGTATTTTCTTTTTATAAGTAATTTTCATAATTTATTTTTTTTAATTTTAATGTTTTTTTTAAATTTATTTCTGAGAGATAGAGACAGCATGAGCAGGGGAGAGATAAGGGAAACAAAGGCAAGAAAAATGTAGTTCAAATTTCCTTGCAGCTTGCAAGCCTACTGATACATACGTGAAACATGCATAGCCTGACCTTCCTCAAAGAACTTGTAGCTAGCTGCCTTAGTGCCTTAAAGTTTATGTTTTATTAAACACTAAAAGTGACCTTACTTAACAGAAACTAGCCCCTCAAGGTCCTGAAAGCCTTGCTTCAAAATTCATTAGAAACTTACTTTATCTCTGTCCCCCTTCCCTCCACAAACTTAAAAGTGTGTAATCAGTCACTCCTTACCAATCCCAGTACAGCTCTTTCTGCACCATCCCCATGCTATAATAAAATCACCTTTTTGCACCAAAAATGTCTCAAGAGTTCTTTCTTAGCTGTTCGCTCATGAACCCCACTTCAAATTTCATCAGTTTGAAGAAAGTACAATAGCTGCACTAGTGATTAAATTAGGAGTTAAGGGTTCTGAATGAAGGAAACACTTGAGATCTGAAGGTTGTATATATAGACATTAACCGTACAGAAAGGAAGTCTCAGTGGAAGGTGCCCAACAGTTATAATTTCAAGTGCTTGGCCCTAAGAAGCTACTTAAGTTAAAATCACTAGTAAGTAGGCACAATTCTAAGCATTTTACTTGAATTATTCCACTTAATCATTAAAACAGTAGTGAGGACATCCGTATTATCATCATTTCCATTCTTCAGAGTAGAAACTAAGGTACAGAGAGAAATTAAGTAACTCGACCAAAGTCATTTAGTTTTCGTAGGGGAGGCAGGAATCTAGTCCAGGCAATTAGTCCGTCCATATTCTACAGTTGTGTCATGCTACACAATAAATGGTGGCTATTACAGGCATTTTTGCCCATTGAAGAGGGTAGGGAAGAGGAGGCCCTCACAGGAAGAGGGAATTGCAAAGTATATATATAACAGTGATACAAACAATGTGTTGGGGCCCCTGGGGTGTCTCAGTCCTTAAGCCGTGGACTCTTGATTTTGGCTCAGGTCATGACCTCACGGTTCATGGGTTCAAGCCCCAGGCCCTCTGCTCACTGAACGGAGTCGGCTTGGGATTCTCCCTCTCTCTTCTTTTGCCACTCCCCTGGTCGTGTGTTGTCTCTCTCAAAGTGTTTAAAATAAAAAAAAAAAAATTTTTTTTAATATGTGTAGCCATACGAGGAGGAGGTGTTTCATGGGCCCCTCAAGAACCCAGCCCAGGGCGCATAGTTGATGCCAGGGTGACCCCGTCACGTCCCAACCCATCTAAGGGACAGCCTGTGGCATCTTCGGGCCTAGGAGATGCCAGGTTGATCCAAATGTCTGAACCCAGCTAAAAGATTAGGCATTTCTAAAAAAAAAAAAAAAAAAAAAAAGGTACAGCCGCACTGAGAATGAGCCCCGTGTAGTTAGTGCGCACAAGCGCACTGCCTGCGTAACTAGAAGAGCTGACTGATGACACCCCTGCAACACGCCGCTCAGCTCCCCCGCCCTACACGGGATTGCTTCTTGGCGGATTTCTATGAGAAGCAGGGAAAGTCGACGTGCGCGCGCACGTGGCACTCTCTGCCAGTGGTCCGGGGACTTTCCCCTAGGCACGAATAAGGAACTCGTCCTCCGTCTGTAGCCTAGGTAACAGGCCTTCAGCACGAACCGTGCTACAGCTGCGTTTTTTTACCCTTTTATAGGTCAAAGATGGTATTCATCTTCTGCTTAGGGTGAATAGGTTGCTAGCATGAGAAATGAAAACGACTTCCCAGCATAATCTTAGAAGACTGTAGACTTCTAGAAGCTTTCTGATTAATAGAATTCCTAACTAGATATGAAATTAATTAATTTAGGAAAACTGGGCAAAAGTCCGATGCTAATAAGTATGCCCCGCCCACGCACTGAATGGGCGGGGCCTCCCGGTGCGGTCCGGAGTAGGACCCACACACCGCTCTGCGTACGCAAGCGCACTGGGGTTCTCGGACGCTGGCGCCGCCTGGGGCCGTCACTCAGTGGTCCGCCATGGAGGATTCTGTTTCACGTGTGGGTGTGTTGGGGTTGCTTCTTGTGTCTGCACTGCCCGGGGTCCTCGGAGACCGCCCCAGCCCCGACCTCCGGGCACACCCAGGTATCAGTGAGGGCTACTGGAGGGAGGCTAGGACTGCCCACTGATCCCAGCTCTACTGACCCGCCTCTGCCCTCCTCCGCAGGGGACCCCCTTCAGGTCGGCCCTGAGGCCGCGGAACCCCGGCGACGGCCTCCGCCCAAGGACCAGCGCGAGCGGGCCCGGGCCGGGGCTCTGCCTTTGGGGGCGCTGTACACCGCAGCTGTCGTGGCTTTTGTGCTGTACAAGTGTTTGCAGGTGCGGGACGACCATGGGTGGGGTTACCCTGGGCCTGAATTTCCCATGGGGGCGCTATGGTACCGTGAACAAGACACATATTTCCGTCGGTCTGTTAAACGAATAAGTAGAGTTCCTCGGCTTTCCGACATTAAGGGGTTATTTTAAGCTTCCTGCGAGGTAGTGGATGTGAAGGGAGCTTGGTAAACTGTGAATAAATAACGACCACTACATTTAATCGTCCCGACAATACAATGAAGAGATTAAGCTACTTGCTCAGTCACCCAGAGGAAGTAGTAGCTGGTAGGGCTGGGATTTGAACCCAACAACTAAGTGTCCGTACTACAAAAGTGTTGCTCTGGTAGGATTTCAATCTTGGCACAAGGTGTGGATTGCTGTGGCCACAGTGTTCGGGTACCAAGCCGTCTCATGTTCACCTTATAAAGGAGGCCGTGAATATGTGAACTGACAGGACATTTTGGTATATTGAAACGGTTGAAATGGAAAATAGTAACTCCCAGGGCTCTATCTTCAAACCCGGCCCTGTTACTTATTTGCATTGGGAAATAGAGGGCTGAACCAATTTGGAGAGGACACGAAATTAAAAAGGATAGCTAATGATGATTCCAAATAAAACCATGGACAGGCACTGGATTTAATGAAAATCGATAATTTATTCTATTTCTGGACCCAAGCACTGTCTGCAAAGAAACCTAACTTGTATATTAGTTGAATAATAAAGTTCAGTTGTGTGATAGGCCAACCCACTTCCCAAATCAATGCTAGGAACAAGGTATTGCACCTTATCTTCTGATCAGAACACTCCTGGACAATTTTATTCTCTTCAAGGTGCTATTTAAGAGTACTATGTGGTCAGTAGAGCAACCAGAGAAAACCATGTCAAATGAGCACCAACTGAAAAAAATTGGCAATGTAATACCAGAGAAGATGTGGGGAAGGGGGGTGGGCAGGGACGATTGTCTTCAAATTCCTGAGTGGCTATGATGTTGAAAAGACAGGATTTTGGAAGGCCCCATGGAATGATGGGACATGAAGGACAGTTTTTGGTTTTGTATATAAACTAACAACCAGAGCTTTATCAAACTGGAGAGAGCTGCTCCTTCCTGGAGGGGTTTCATTAGACTCAATGACTGTGTGGGGGCATACTGACCTATTGCTTCAGGTCCCGAGTGAGAAGCTGGGCCAGATGTGATTGTGATTCTCTGAAGTAAAAGCCCCAAAGCTTTCTCTACAAATTATCCATCTCTCACTGGGTTTGGAGACTGAGGTGATGGAGAACCTTGTTGCAGTACAGCCCTCTCCTTCTTCTACAGCAGGGAAAAGATGACACTGCTGTTCTCCAAGATGAGGCAGGCAAGAAAGAATCCCTGCATTCAGGTGGGTTTTGCACAAGTCTGTGTTTGGTGGGAGATTAGGGGACAGCAGAAGGTATAAATAACCATTGCTCTCTTTTTTTCCCTTACCCCCAGAACAACAGCTGGCCCAGTTGACACAACAGCTGGCCCAGACAGAGCAACACCTGAACAATCTGATGGCCCAGCTGGACCCTCTTTTTGAGCGGTAAGGAGAGCAATGAGCCTGTGGCCAGGGGAACTAGTGATAGGTGGAAGAGGTGGGGACACATTCTGGGTAGCCTCTGAGTGGGTATTTCTGCAGTGTGACTACCCTGGCTGGAGCCCAGCAAGAGCTTCTAAACATGAAGCTTCAGACCATCCACCAGCTGCTACAAGAGAGCAAGCCAAACCAGGGTGTGGAGGTTCCAGAACCAGGTATAAAAGGTTGGGAGGTGCGAGTCTGGTGGAGGTAGTGACAGTTTCTGAGACAGGAACTATGCCTGATCTTTCCCCTCACAGAGGCCAGCATACCATTTCCTGAGGACTTATGTATAGAGGAGGAGGAGGAGGAGGCTGGTGACAGTCAGGCCTGGGAGGAGCCCTTGAACTGGAGCACAGAGACAAGGAACTTAGCTACTCCCTGGGAAGTGGAGCAGGGGCTAAGGAGAAGATGCAGCAAGGCTGTGGGAGGGGCCGCAGTCCCAGCCCCCGCCTGGGAGGAACGACAGCTGAAGGTTTAGTAAAACAAAGTCTGTTCTTGTGACTGGATACTCCTGTGTGCTTTTTCCATTCCAGCTGGTCATACACACACCCATACTAGGTGCCCAAGAACAACTGGGCCTTCTTGAAAAGCTTCCCTTATTAGGACAAAACGAGGCCACCTTCCAGTGTGAGAGCTGATAGATAGAGGGAGCTCTAGTTCTTTTCCTTGTATTCCTGAGGCCACCACCATCATGCCAGGCTTCCGGGCACAAAAACCCCTCTTTCTCATACCCCAGAGCTGAGATAGAAAGGCTTTTCCAAAAATGAAAACAAAAACAAAAACCACTTTACTAAAATCCAGTGGGAAAATAAATTATAGAAACTGCGTACAACATAAAAACATCCATGTTTACAAAGCTGCAGTCTTGACAAACAACCAGCCATAGACACAGCACCGAGCTTATCAGTCCAAAGCCCCTCATCCGTATTGGAGGGGCTGGTTCAGCAGAGGTTCAATTGGGTCGGACTTTGTTTCCTGATTCTTAAAGGCAGACTGGTCCCAAACAAACACAAAACGACCCTTCTCAAACCATGAAGGGGTCTGTGTTTTGTTTAGTACTGAAGATTTCTTTGTACTCCTGACTCTGACCTATTCCTCATGTATCCTGGGTTCTGGAATTTGTAAGATTCCTCTAGCTCTTCTGGCTGCTGTGGAGAGAAGATGGTCAGTTTAGGCACTGGCATGAGCACTCTAATAAGACAAAATCCCTTATGGCATTGGGGGTGGGAACGGCCCAGCAGATGGAGGACTTGAGATAGGATTAGAACTGCTGATTTCTAGCTCATGGGCCTTCCTGAGGGAAGACACAACTTACCTGATGGCTAAAGTCAGACTGTGGTGCCAGCGCAACAGCTCTTCCTGGTCTGTGGACATAAGCAGTAGCTTCTCACAGGGAAAGGACAGCTGGGGAGAAATCACCTCTTAGTGCATGGTTCAGAAAGGTCCAGGCTAAAGGTGAAGGCTTTGCTGTTTCCATGGACATAATTTCAGGCTGAGATGAGAACTAAGCATGAACCCCAAACTCCTGTTATCTCGATATAGGTGGTTTAATTCCTCTGAAGAGGCCCCAGGCCCAGGAGATAAATTAGGTACATAGGTGTTTGAGGTCTATTTTGAGCCTCTTCTACCTTACCTAGGGCTCCCGCCTATAACTTACACTGAGCAGTCCACCACAAGGGCCTCCTGAATGGCCAAAGACCCTGTGGAGTTGACACTGGGCCATGGGGTAGAGGGCACAGCAGGCAAAGGTGCCCCTCTGCAGCAGGTGCAGTGGGGGTCGAGGTTTGGCCATGAGGAGCACATCAGAGAAGAGGAAGAACATTCGGGGCCGAGGCTCCCCACGGGGAGGCACTACCAGTAGCCAGCCCTGACGTAGGAACCAGCGACCTGGGGAGGTGGGAGAGCTGTTACTCTGGTGCAGCTCCAGGACCACAATCCATGGGAACAGGGGGAAGGGGAGGTTGAGGAAATAGGGTGTATGTGCTGGCAAGACAGAAAAAGGGTCATAAAAGGGCAGTTCGAGGACTGAGGAGCCTGGGGGGAAAAGGGGAGTAGTGTGCAGACTACCTGAGGTAAGCCCCTTTGCCTGGCGGCCACTGAGCAAAGCCTGAACACGCCGGAGGTGCTGGTCATTCTTCTGTCTCTGACCAATGCTGTGGACTCTCTGAGCAGTCTCACCTATCAGCCGGGCGGCCCCTGCAATAACATCCCCAGCACTACTCCCAGTACAGCTTTGACTTTGGGTGACTGATGATGGTGAAAGGCTATTCCAGAGGGGACTAGGGTAAGGGTCTAACTTCTCGAAGAGTAGGCAGGGCAGCAGGGACGTGTACATGTCAATAGAAGATAGGGGCGTACCAGATATTGTTGGAGGTCAGAACCAGAAAGGGACACAGGAGAGGCAGCCTCCTGCCTGTGTTTCAGAGGAGCAAGAACATACGTGTAAGCTGTTGGTGGTCAGGGCTGTTGGGACCTGTGTTTTCAGCCAAAGCCACAACAAGGTTCTCATACCTGGAATTAGACAGGTGGAAGGCCATGAGGGGAAGCAGAGCTGGGAGAAGTCCCTCTGCCTGACATACAGATCGTCCCCTACATATACTTCAGTTGCAAGGCCAGGAAAGATCTACTTTAGATTATTGTGTCCCGCCCCACCCTTTCATCTGGGACTCAGAACTTAGGCTCATGCCCTGAGGTATCTTCCATCCCACACCAAGGAGTCAGGAGTAGACTGACCATAATTTGGGAGTCTAGATCCCTTGATGAAAGTTGATCAACCCAAGGAGAATGCTACAGACAACCTTAGTATATGCTTTTGACATGCCCAGGGACGGAAATTCCAAGCTAGACCAACCTCTCATCTGAAGAAACTTCCAGATACCTTGTCACTAGCTCTGTTACAAGGCCCCTTACTTCAGTGTAGAGTTCCACATTCCCTGAGGCTGCAAATCCACTCAGGTGGGTTCACATGTACTCTTGCAAGGTTTTTAGGAGCGGTTTGTCCCAGAAGAGAGAGGCAATGGGACAGAAGCCACAAAACCCCACAAAGCTGAGAGTAGCAGTCACACAGACTCTGAGAGGTTGGCAGAGTCAAGGTGAATTTACTCACTGTTGGAGCCTCTGCAGAGGCAGAGGGAGCAGGTCCTGGAGATGAAGGCTCCCAAACTCAGGGCGGCCTTCCTGAAGTCGCACAAACCTCCGGAAACGTTTATTTTTCTTTAGTTGTTCCTGGAGTGATGAAGAACGAGTTGGCAGCAGGGGGGAGAAGCCACCTCCTATATTGTACCCATCTGTGTGCCCAGCCCTCTGTAAGCTGTGTGCTGAGAGAGCCCCTACAGGGAACTTTGGACAGACCGGGGCGCCCAGAGGGCTCTATAATTGTAGTAACGGTATGAATGAAGTTTGGATCTCCAGAGGAAGAAGCAATGTATGCGGCAAGAAGGGATGAGGGGAAGGACTTGAGATCATCTTCAGGTTACCTGCAGGGTGGTCTGGGATCTCTCTGCGTTGGCGGCAAATTGGGTGTAGAGCTCCAGGTGGGAGCAGAAGCCTTCCAGCCCCAGTCCCCAGTGCCCTCCTTCGAGGTAGGGAAGCAGCTCTCTGCGTGAGTGAGGACAGTAAAAGAGGAATCCAACTACCCAAAACACCACCTCATTTAATTCGCATAACCTTGCCCCGGGGGTAGTGGTATTACCCCGTTTTGCTGAGGAAAATCGGGGCAGGTTAAGGCACTGGGCCAAGACCACAGGTGAGTTAATTGGCAGATCCGTGTATGAACTTGGGTCACCCTCACTCCAACCTTCGTGCGCTGCCAGAGGCCAGGGCTCTCCCTCTTCTCTTTCCCCCACGCCCCTTCTACTCACTGGCTGGCGCCGTAAATGAGCTCCCAGGGCCCAAACAGGGCCTGGCGCTCCGCTGGTTGCAGGGTGCCCTTGGCTCTCAGAATCCCCACGAAGTACTGCGGGAGGAGAATACCGGTATATGGTCTGCAGGAAAACGAGGCTAACGCCAAGCCGCAGCTAGAAACTGCAGAATGCCTGAGCTCCCTACATGCGAGGACAGTCCAAGACCCACCATACCCGGGGTCAGAGACCTCGCGGAGACCCTCCCATACCCTGGGGTCCCCGCCCCAAACGGGAGGGCGTGCGTGGCCCGCACCGTGGCCACCAGCCCCAGCTGTTCTTGGTAGCGCCTCTCCGTCTCCAGCAACTCCCGAGCAGTGCAGGCGCGTTTCCGTTCCCAACGGGCACGCTGCTCTTGCACCGGGCACCGGGCGCTGGCTCCTAGCCCCTCCATGCCTGGCCGAGGGGTGGATGCTTCCGGCCGCAGCCCGCCGGTAATTCAAATTCCAACCGCTCCTGGGGCAGGGCCGCGGAGAGGAGTGCGCCCCCTGGCGCCGGGAGGCTCCGCACAGGACAGAGCATGCGCGGCGGCCGCCGAACTGCATCCAGTCTCTGCCTTTAAGGCCTCGCCCTACCGCCAGAGCGGCGCTGTAGGCACGCGAAGTCCGCTCGGGCACTTGGAGTCAGGCAGGAAGATGGCCCTTCTCTGAGTTCTGCCAAGTTGAAGCAGCATTCTGGACCTTGAGTCAGGACACCGACAGGGCCTCAGTGTCCCATCAGTAAAATTAGGTAGGGGACAATAGTTATGGTACATGTTGTCCTGGGCCTGTGCCAAACACTGGGGCACAGTCGTCCCCAGTGCTTTCACTATTAGGAAACCTCACGGGTCACAAGATTTGAAATATTTTGGCTCGAACAAAAGTTGATAGGTTTTAAGTTACTAACTCATTTTCTCCTTTCATACAGATCCAAAACCTGACAGCCAATTAGCTCCTGATCAGCAAACGTCAGTAACCAATGGTGGTGGTGGGAATTGCTGTAATTCTGCCCAGAGGCTAAAGCTTGTAGTTGATTAGTCGGTGCTACCTGGACAAAGATAAAATGGACCAGATTTTCCTTACTTAGGTCTTTCAAAAAATTGGCAGTAGCCCTATAGGGTAGACTGTCAGTGCCATTTTGTATATATAAGAAGTCTTAAAATGTGCTTACTCTTATGACCTAGCAATTCCATTTTTAGGAATGCATCCTAAGCAAACATGTGGACAAAAATATGTATACCAGGGTGGGTGGTACGGTGTTGTTCGTAACAACAGAAAAGTAGAAACTATCTAAATGTACAGTGGTAGAGAATTGGCTAGGAAAATTATGGTACAGCTATTTGAAGGAATAATATGAAAGCATGAAAAATGGTGGGGGATGGAGGCGCCTGGGTGGCTCAGTCCATTAAATGTCCGACATTGGCCCAGGTCATGATCTCATAGTTTGCGAGTTCAAGCCCTGCACCAGGCTCTCTGCTGTAGTGCAGAGCCTGCTTCAGATCCTCTCCCTCTTTCTTTCCCCTTCCTCTGCTCTCTCTCTTTTTCAAAATAAATAAGCTTAAAAAAAAAATAAATGGTGGTGGCTTTGGGGTACATGGGTGGCTTAGTCGGGTAAGCATCCAACTCTTGACTTTGGCTCAGGTCGTGATCTCACAGTTCATGAGATGGAGCCCCCTACTGGGTTCTATACTGACAGTACAGAGCCTGCTTGAGATTCTTTCTCTCCTCTCTCTACCCAACCACCCCCCTCAAAATGAATAATTAAACATTAAAAAATGATGTAAAAAAACTTGCCAATAGGAAAAACACACATAGTATATTGCCAAGACCAAACAAAGCATGCTACAAAGCTGTTTGCACAATATGATCCCATTTATGTATAGCATATATGTGACTGACTGGAAGGATAAACAATTGAGGTAATTGTTGTTATCTCTAAGTGATCAGATTGAAGTTAATGCACTCCACAAATATTTTTTTAAGCACCTAATCTGTGCCAGGCACTGCATCACTGAGGTTAAAGAGGTGAATGATTCAAATATAGTTATTTTTTGAAATTCCCTTATGTTTTTCTCCTTTTCCCAAGTTTTCTGCTTGAGCATGCATGAATTACTTTTTAATTGGAAAAAGACTGCTGTTAAAAAGACCAAAATGTTAAGAAACCTTCAGTGGAAACCCCACTGTGGACTCCTAGGAATTTTTACCCCAAACCAAGAACCAGGGTACTGTCGGGGTTCTGAGGTCTGCTCTAGCTCTCTGCCATTCTAAGAATTCCAAGGAAATATGCTGGACTTGGATCAGGGAAAAACAACTTGAAGGGTTGGATGGTGGAAACAGAAAGTTTGGGTCAGACTGTACCTTGGACTCCAGTTACAAGGAAACTGGTGATACCATGTAGGTAGAGGACTGGTTACAACGTCTCCAGTGACTGTGGGACAGTCCACACTAAGAGTTCAAGAGTAGAAGGGGCAGATAATCCCACTGTAATCAGCATCACGAGTCTCTTTTGCAACCCTGGGATGAGCAGAAACGTGGCCCTCAATGTCTGAAGACACAGACCCTAATGACCAAACATTTTAGCCTTAAACACCATAGAGAGGGCATGCATCAGGCAGGTGGTGCCTCAGCCAATTGGTCCTGAGTACGCCATGTCCCAACCTGGGGAGACTCAGGAAACAAGACTCTGGGAGCTCAAACCTGTTTTAGAGTCTGGCAGACTCCCAGCTGCAAAGACACAATCCAGGGTCAGAGTCTACATTCCCCACCCACACCAGACACACAGTCACACACAGAAACAACGAGCTTAAGAAAGATAGCACCATGGAGAATTAATTTCAAAATTTAATTAATTTTAAAAGCTGAGGGGTATCTGGGTGGCTCAGCCAGTTGAGTGTCTGACTTCAGCTCAGGTCATGATCTTGCAGTTGGTGAGTTCAAGCCCCACATGGGGCTTGCTTATGTTCTCTCTCGAAAAAAAAAAAAAAACTTAAAAAATGTAATTAAAAAGCTGAAACAGAGAGGCGCCTGGGTGGCTTAGTCAGTTAAGCGTCCGACTTTCGCTTAGGTCATGATCTCGCGGTTTGTGGGTTCGAGCCCCGTGACTGCCAGCCCAGAGCCTGGAGCCCGTTTCAGAGTCTGTGACTCCCTCTCTCTCTGACCCTCCCCTGCTCACGCTGTCTCTCTCTCTCTCCTAGAAATAAATAAAACCTTAAAAAAAAAAAAAAAAAAGCTGAAACAGAGAGAGACCAGTACGTAGATGCAGATCTAGGCTCTGAAATGTTGGCTAAAAGCAACTGAGATGGTAGGGAAATGTGTGGACACATAGAGCACTGCAGAGAAGTGTACCAGGGTATCCTGACACAGACCTAGAAAGGAAAACAATGGAAATATGAAGAACATTTGGAAAGAGGGAAAATGAAATAAAGCTGGAATGGGCGTTGTAGAAAGATCACACATACAGACTCCAGACTCCAGTTAGCATGGTGCTTCTGTCCTCTTTGCTTCCCATGACCTCCTCCACCTCACCTAGATAAGTCATTGCCACATTCTATCTTGTTTAGGTCCATCCAATTCAGATATTACCATGTACCCTCCATGTGTCAGTGTCTAACCAAGGTGTTGTCATCACAGCTAACCCAGACAATGAGCTGACCTTCCACATTGCACCCTGGATCCGATTTCTGTAGATGGCTCTTAATTTGGCTCCAGAAATAGCAACCTAGATTGCTAGGCTAACCACCTCCTTGGAGGACAGCAGTTGTTCAGCTGTGCAAGTTTTGGTATACAGTATGGACAGTTAATCTGACAATACAGATAATTTGGGGTGCTATAAAAATGCAATGTCATGCTCTTGGAACAGTTGTAACCACAAACACAAGTCATTGACAATCAGCTTCCTGAGGGCAGGGAAGGTATCTTAGTCAATTCGTTTTTTCTCAAGTCCTGGCAAGGTGATCTGCAGAGAAAAAAAATGCTCAATAACTGTGAGTGAATAAAAGACTTAATCAAACACTGAACCCTGCCCTTATGGAACTCAAGGCTATTAGACCAGATAAAATGTCATAAATCACCATAATAGAAGTTGGGTGGTGGGCAAGGTAATTAGCAAGGGCAGGCAAAGAACTGGGGTGGTTCAGAGGCCCCAGAAATCTCTTCCTGTGGTATAGAGTGGAGGAGATGGCCTTGCGCTGAGTCTTGAACCACAGAAGGTATATAGACAAGAGAGAGAGTAAAACTATTTAATAGGGTAGTGGGTGCACAAGTACTGATTCATGCAGTGGAAGCTGCCTGGGACAGTCAAGTGGGGTCGTTCTGCCTCTGCTGCTCCAGGCATTACCTCTTTAGATAAGAGATCAGTAGAGTCCTCAGGAAGAAGTGAGGTGGCAGAGCACCCTGAAGCTAGGGACTAGTTCTCAACAGGATTAGAAATACTTCAATATATTTCTGTATTCCATACAACCATACTGGTATATATCTCCTGAATGGTAGCCCCAGATATGAACTTCCTCAGATAGCCAGACTCGCTTATGGTTTGTTGAAGCCATAGAGACCTTATTAGAATGTGAGCCACAGAAAGGAAAAAAAAAATGTGACCTACAGAACAGTAGAGGCTGTTCTCTAGTTCAGTGCTGATCCCTAGGGCTTAGAATGGTACCTGGAGAATTGGAGGAGGCTCAGTAAATGTTTCTCAAAAGAGTAGGTAGACTGGGAACCCCAAGTGTTGGGGTCCTTTCATTTTTCATCTCCTTGCACCCACTCTCCCCTTCCAATCCATGTTGCACACCAGCCATCAACACAACCTAGTATGAGACTTGGATTCTGTCATTCTCCTGCACAAGATATTTGATGCCTTTCCTTTCCACAAAATACCATTTGCCACATTGTTTTTAGTAATTGATTTTCTACTTCTTCAAAGCCCTGACTGATCACATTTTGCCTACTTCTGTATTACTTTCTGAGGCAGAATTGATCTCTCTCCCCTGAATATTGTGATAGTGTTTGCCCTCACTGAGTAGACAGTGAGCTCCTTAGGACAGGGACTATGTTTTATTCATTTCTGTACCTTTAGTCCATAGCCCATTGCTGGACATAGTAGATGCTAAATAACTATTTGTTAAATATAAGAGTGAATAGTATTCCCTAGTAATGAGAACTAGATGAACAAAGGTGGTCAAAAGTCTGAGAGGGAAATCACTAGTTTAATTTGAATGGAGTATGAGGGAGAGTAGTAGGAGATAAAATGGAAAGGCTTCTTGGGTAAGATTTTGAAGGGCCTTGAAAGTCAACTAGAGGAAGAAGATGGACAGATGGAAGCCAATGAAGGTTTTTGAGCAGAGGTGTAATAGGATAAAAAATAAATTTAGTTTAAACCCATCAGAGTCCCTCTCCTACATATACTCAGTTTTCCATTCATACTCAGATTTGCCTCCC